TCTCATACGACAGGAATTTACAAATTATTACTTTTTTTTTATTACATAATGGCACATTGTAATTTTTATCCATTTATAGTTACATTAATTTTGTGGAACCTCCAGGAAACAGGTTAGCTCCTGTCATCACTTATAATAGCTATAAACAGTCGTTCCTCTCACCAGCCTGTCATTTTTCTTTTTCTTGAAGTTAATAAGACAAAAAAATGTAGCATGCCATGTAACAGAGACATGGCAAAGCTCTGTGTCCCCTGTCTGTTACTATAGAAACAACAATGTAGTAGAACAAGCGCATTAATATAAACCTGTGATTGGAATTACAGCTGGCACTACTGTCAGAGCTGCTGTTCTAGAAAATGAATCAGGACCTAAAGAATAAAGTATTCAACAGCGCTGTGGTGTAATGATATTTGGGAAATTGCAGGCTGTTTCACTTTCAGGAACATACAGGGACTGGATGAATGTTGCCAAACGTGATGTTGACGCAAGTCTTTGAAACTTGCCAAGACCAACAGTACAGAAGTAATTAAAGCCGTTATTAAAGACTTAGTGTTACTATTTTCTGTCATCTACTATTTTCATTCTTTTTATTTATTGTCATGTTTTTAATCTTTTCATTTAAGAAATTCATGAAGTCATTACTACCGTACTGTATTGGGATCTGTGGTTCTGTGACTGCTCGGGTCCCTGGTCAGTCTAGCCACTAGGGTTAACCTAGGATTGTGTTAGACTGCAGACTGTGCAACCTTCACCGCCTGTTCATAGTTTATCATTCTATCGTTTCAAGGAATCTGAAAAACCTCCAAATGCAGGACTCGTCTCATTGCTGATGTTCTCATGCATGTAGTGCCTTCTTTGTGTACATAACGTCTAAATCTGTGTATAATTTCTGTCTGTTCAAATACTTCTGTGTTCTATGTAAAGTATTTATACACGTGTTTTTAGTTAAAGTTCATTATTTGACTGGCATGCAGTATTTTTAATTTATATCACAGCTCTGTTGAATATTCGAATCTGATTCTTCAGAATCTGATTAATTTTCGATAACTGCAAGGCATATCACAGGTTTAGATGATGTTTTCTGTGAGAAGGTGGCTATTTCACATTTTTGGACAGAGTCTCCAGTGTTAGCACTTTATAATGGTCAGTAAGGTTCCAGACACGGAAAAGTCCTCGAGACTTTAGATAGCTTTGTTGCATTTTTTTGTCTTATGAACTTAATGAGAGAGGAAAAAGAGAGGCTGGTGAGGGAACGAATGTTTATAGCTGCTATAACATGAGCTGCTAAAACAAACTAACTTGCTTTGTGAACATTCCACAACATTAAAAGTAACTAAAAACAGATAATAAGTATCACGTGTCATTTTTTAAATAAATAAAAATTGGTAGCATTGGCAAATTGCTGATGTATAAGAGGAATAAAACGCTTCTAGACATGCTGTTATAGGAAAATAGAAAAAAACTTCACCGCATGACACCACCACATCACTGATTATTTTCCTATAACAGCACCCCTATCATATTTTATTCCTTACATAAATGTTTCCAATCTTGGACAAGAATGAAAATCCAATAGTGAACAGAAAATGATGAATGTTTCAGCAGGAAAAAGAAGCACCACCATTCCTCATTCCCACTGACAGTCACCAAATCTCTTCCCTTCTAATTTGTAGTGTTAACCTCCGCTCAATTTTATCTCCTTGCCTGGCCATGCCCACTATAATTCGTCAGCGGTCGATGTAAATTACCAGCTCTCATTGAAAATGAATGAGTTCCGACCGCATTGTCGATTTGACGCTTGCTGCAGTGAACACATGGTTCTTTGGGTGAGAACAGTTCACAATCAACGCTGTGCTCGAGCCCAGAGGCTTTTACATTCTTTATGACCACAAAGGTCTAGACTCAAAAACAACATGAGGCCGTATATAAACCATACCCACCCAACCACCAGACCAAACACACCAAACCCACATATGATTCTTTCCTTTGTTTGCCAACTTGAAATAACCACAAAATAAAACATGAGAGGAAATTCTTTATGGCTGAGCTACCTGCCCAAAATAAGCTGAAAATACAAGCTAACCTATTAGGAAAAGTAAATAAAAAGTCAACCAAAGCGATCTCCATAAATAGAAAGCAGGAGAAACAATTTAGACTAAACAAAATAAGCAGCTCACCCCCCTATGTGTAGATTAGTTTACAGAGAAATCATTCTGGATCCATAATACGTCTGCCTCCAGAACAGGTCTGAGAAGGTTAAACGTAACGTAACTACGTGGCCAGTTAAGGTTTTACACTAGTGACTGGTAGATTGTGAGTCCAACAATGACATGTCCAACATTTTCAGTGACTTTATGAACGTAAGACAAACAATAAACTGAACTTGTGGTTAGTTAAGGTTACAAATGTTTACAAGTTTTACTGCTAGCAGCTGGATTTCATTAAATTTATTTATTTTTGTAATAAAATGTAATTTATGTAATCATCTAATGTTAGAAAATGGTATATACCCTGTTGTGGAAGCCCATGGCAGGGATGTTACACTTCACAGCTGCATCCTCCTCATGACTGCAGCCCAGAGCTTCTCTGTTAAAGTGACACTCAGTCAGAGACTTCTCGAACCCTGAGCACTCCACCTCGTTCATGTGCACCGGGCCCATTCCTACACACACACACACACACACACACACACACACACACACACACAGCTCACAGTAATCATTACACAGTTACAGTGAGATATATCCATTTTAGTTAGTTATGGTATGTGTACAGTTATTTTGTTAGCTGATAAAGTAGGAACATTTATAAAACCTAAAAAAACTAAAATCTTATAAAAACTAAATGTCTCATTCCTATAAATTATAATTCTTTGTGTTCTTTATTTTGTCAATGCAAACTTTTGCACTTATCAGTATAAAGTAAAACAGATTCAATTACATGAGAAAAGAAAAATACCAGATTAGGTATATGTTATGTTTATAGCCTGAAATTTAGGACCACGTCAGTTGGAAGTTGAGACAATGTAAAACTAATTAAGGCCTCCATAAAGCGTAATTTCAGACAAATAAACAGTAGACAGACGTGAATAGGACTGTTTCATAATCCTAAATGATGAACAAAATAATGGAAACATCCATTAAAGGTAACACACAAAGGACCATAAAGTGGCAGTGCCAGCATTTCTCGAGAAATGATCTTTTCTAAAGTGGTCAAAAGAATAAATAGCAAAAACTTCTGCACTCAAAGGTGTAGTTTTTAATTTAAAAAAATGTGTTTATAGGCATGAAATAATCATATCGTTTAAAAAAGAGACCTTAAAGGTTCCTTTTCCATAATCAGCAACTTCACCTTGAATACATCATTAGTTTTAGCAGAGGGGGCGGAGTCAGAAGGGGAAAGGGAAAGATTTGACAGTGGGTCATTAAAACTGTTATTCGTCTCTAAACATTGAAAGCTGCTCCTTTAAGATGTTACCTTAAAGCTGTTATCAAACAGACCACATATTTACGAGTTACAAGTGCTAATATGAATATTTAGGAAAAATGTGCCAATGCTAGGTGCCATGTTGATAAATAATGGATTTCTGAATAAATGACTGAGGACAATTTTGGATTAGTCTCAGTCCCTCACTCAGGCATATGGGATGCAACTGAAGAACATGTGGTTATCTGATGTGAACAGATGGTGAGTGGATGTTAAAACAGTTTTGCAGCTGGACAAGACTCTAAGGATTCCTTGTGTCTGCTGCTCCTGATGAATCAAGAGAATTTTTTTTATCTAACTCACTGATGTGTGATGACGGACAGTCCGTCTGAGAATCAGCTTACACTATAGTCTCCAGCAATGTTTAACACTTTACATAAAAGACTAAAAAGCTTTTATGTTCAGAGTTGAGTAAAAACTACAGAGAATTACTGAAGCCGCAATTTCCCCCTTTTCATTAATGAATCCGTTAAAATGATGAACCAGATCAAGTGTTTAGCTGTGTGAAATATCCTCACACAAAACTGAAAACTATCTGTTCTTTCATTTCATTTAGAAATCACATTACTTTTAAATAGATGATGACCATGGTCATTTTGATCTGAGAGGAAGTAGTTAAATTTAAACTAGTGGTAAACTCATACTATTTCTTGTGTTTTCAAGAAGATTCCACATGAAAAGTCCACTCTTGTGGTATTCATAACATCAAATGTCCAAAAAAAAATTTCATACAGCTGAGTTATTGAGTCATGATGCAGTGTTGATGTTTCTCAATATTGCAGAACCCACAGAAGTTCAGCTAGCGGTTGATGCTAAGCGTAATTACAGTGTAATTTTAGCTGTACGGAGTCTTTTCTTAGTCACTTACCAACACATCTGAGGAAAATGTCGATATTTCTGACACTGCTGTCTCATTTCCACTGTCATTGTGCCTTTACATTGTTTGTAAAAGACTTAATGGCTATGTTGAAGCTAGCTAAAACTGTTAGTGTCAGTCATTATCTATGATTTTAACTTAAACGTTAGCTGTTTGCTATAAAATCTGGGCAGATGGAACAGAACAAGGCTAAGTAGTAAACTCACACAACTTGATATGTACTGTGTAATGTGTAGCGTTTTAGTGAGCGATACACACCTTGCCCCATTCGTGCCCCAGTCAGAGCTTCTTTAGCAGTGCCAAAGCCCAACTCTCGACACACCACACTGGCAGCTTTCATGTTCCAGTTATCGTCACACACTGTTCCCCAAATGCCGTTCTTCAGCACTTCCACTCGACCTTCACCCAACTTCCCTCCTCCACGTAGACGCACCAGGGGTTGCTGGAGGAAAATATAAATAAAGTAGATATTTGTTGATCTAATTCATAATAAAAACAGATCACGTACAGTACGACAACCTGAACATTTTATAGTCCACATGACAAACTGAAGCTTGTCCTCCTCTGTGTGGGAAACTTTTACAAACAGAAATCACTTTGCAGATTAATTGTTTATATAATATACTAATATGTTGGGTCCCTGAAGGACTAGTGGTTAGGCTTCGGCACTCTAACTGCTGCGGCCCTGGTTCGATTCCCAGCTAGGAAACCAACCGCAGCCAGTGGGGTTGCACAAGACAGCGCACTTCCAGTGCTGGTCCCAAGCCCGGATAAAATTGGGGAGGGGTTGTGTCAGGAAGGGCATACTGTATAAAAATTCTTTCCAGGTTTTTGACTCTGCATCTACAATTCTGCCAAAAAGTGAACAACAAATTTTAGGTTGCCTATAATAAAAGGTTAATTCTATCTACGAACAGTTTGATCCTCATGTAGAGCTTTAGTCCTGCTCTAATGGCATGTTTGCCCTTTATGAAACAGGTGGAACCAAAGTGGGACCGGAATATTTGGGACAAAATATGTCCTCCAAATTAGCTGGTGATGATGTACGATTTTAGTCATGGCTAGCGATGTCATGGTACCAAAATATAATAAATACATTAAATAAAATATATTATTGGTGGTGGTGTAGCTCCAGGGTCATCAGTTTGATCCTGAGCTTGGGTTACTGTCTGTGTGGAGTTTCGCATGTACTCCTCATGTCCATATGGGTTTCCTCAGGGTTCTCCAGTTTCCTCCTACCTCCACAAACATTCCAGGAAGTGGACTGGCTACACTACATTGCCCCTAGGTGTGAATGTGTGTGTGCATGGTGCCCTGCAATGGATTGGTGACACATCTAGGGTGTATTCCTGTTTCACACCCAGTGTTCCTAAGTTGGGCTCCAGATTCCACTGCAATCCTGACCAGGATAAAGCTGAATATGAATGAAGGAATGAATTATAGTGTATATATATATATATATATATATATATATATATATATATATATATATATATGTAGTACACACACTGCTAAAACAAACACTTCCTATGTTTTCAACCTATGCAACAAGAATGACTTTCCATTCAGAGGCCAGTGCCTCTAAAGCAGTTGTGCTATTGGTCGATGGTGCTAATTTACTCTCAATACCAAGTTTCACTTAAAAAAAATGTATTCACACTGAAAAACTGTAATGTGAAACTACAAATTCCACAAACTTGAATGCCATTTTTTCTTGCAAATGTATGCTGACAAAAAAGCTAGTGTAACCGAGCCTCGGCTCTGGAGGTGAGTGAACCTGAAGCATTTCTGTGTTTATTCAGTGCAGTCTTGCTCTCTTCATGGAGTGCTTCCAGATGACAGGATCTGGCTGCAAGCATGATCGCTATATAAACACACAATCAGCCTGCATTCGAAACACTCTGGAATCTTACGTAATCCTTGTCTTTCAGGTCCTTCAAAGTCATTTCCTGGAAGTCCTTGTGTGATGCCCTGTTCTATAAGGGTTCCAAGCACTGCTGGAACTGCTGAAGCTTCTCACGAGCTTGATGTTGAAAAATAGAGACCATTCATTAAAAAAAATGACATGAAATTAGCTACGGCTTCCCTGTCAGAGACGATTCGGGTTGATGGTGGAAAAGTCTGAGGTTACACACACTGTTGAGTGTGTAAAATATTTGGATAAGAAGCTACAGTGAGGCCACTTAAAACCATTCCAGACACACTGGAAACGTGTGTGAAGGCATGTGTCTGCTACTGAGTTAGCATTGACCAGACATTACACCAGACTGCTCGCTGTAGATTTTTGTAGGAAGGCTCCTTCCTGTCACTTCTTTTCGTAATTTGACAGCAATCCGGCTACTGGTGAGTCAGGGACTTAAAAAAAAAAACACTGAGTGTCTGTAGCTGTTCATGTCAGTCTAACCACAGAGCCATGAAGCCACTTGGCTGCCATCTTGATTCTCCTTCTTCACATTATAAAAGAAATGCTTTTCTATTGACATAATGTAAAATATTCCCTAATACCAACTGATTTTTTTTTAAAAGAAAAATGAATGTCATTCATTTTTACTTCACCTAATAAACAGAAAAAAGCAAAAATATATAACAGATTGTTTCCCACAGCCCAATTTAATCTCAAACAAGAAGTTGTAAAATGGGACCCTAATCTTTATCTTGCCTCCTATTATCTTTTATGTTACTGGTATCATAACAACAGAAGTGCCAACTTTGCTAAAAAGAAAATGCTAGCAGGCAGAGAGAAAAAAACAGAAATTTATCATTAAAAACCCAGCATATACTAGTGGATAGTGGACGAGACAGCAGTTTTTTTCTCACTGATGAGACCACAGTCCTGCCCACTTGGTTTTTAACTGGCTCACAAGACAGAGGCTCGTAAATTCACAGGTCAAAGTCGGCTTGAAGTGAAAGTAACAGCTACCAGGAGCAAACGTGTCTTACGCATCCTGTGTCCTTTCCCCTTCAGTGAATTTGCTTTTCCACCTGGTGCATTTTATTCACATTTGGTCTGACAACTGTTTTAGCTGAGAAACGGGAAAAGCATAGTTTTCAGTTGTCACGCGTATTCCTGTAGCAAGGAGCCAAAAACGGTAAATGCTACGGCTAAACCGTAGACGTTTCTATTTATGGCTAGAAATTCAAAACAGACAGACTGGACTATGGGGACACAGCATTGCAAAGCAGTACACACTACATGAGGTTTAGGTGTGTGTATGTGTATACCTCTGCTCTGTAGGCCTTTCTGAATCCTGAGGACTGTGTGGGTGCGAAGGCTCTTCCAGGAACACAGCTGATCACGGCAGGCATTCCATGGGCGCACGTGGCATTCAGATTTTTCTCCACTTTCAGTGCTTTGCCCATCCTACACTCGGGCAGATGAGCTTCATTTCCTGTGCAGTTCACTGAAAAACCAAAGTAGTCCTTCCTCCTGCGCTGAGAAAGAAGCCTACGAGAGGATAGAAACGATATTTCATTTCTATTTTTCTTAAGGGACTCTCGGTTTAACACTTTATTTTACAGAACCATAAAGCACGCCTTATAACATAACAGCTAGTGAGTCCAGAGTACTAAATATGGTACTCATAATAACAAGGGGTTAATCATGAGTATGAAATCTATGGGCTGTAATCATATTTAGTATTTAAGTAAACACAATTATTTGATCAAAAATCCAGTCCTTGCTTTCATCACTGTTTCAGCATGACTTACAAAAACATACAAACACATGAAGATGACAGCTAAAGATGCTGTAAAATGATTTTTGTTTCTACATCCATGATAGCTATCACTAAAATGGATGTCTGGAGGAAACACATAATCTCACTGACAATGGGTTGAGAGAAATCAAAAGAGAGAGTGGGTTAACAAGGACAGGAAGTTGTGACCATATAAGGAAAGCACAAGCCAAAAGGGCCAGAGTGTGGCGAGACAGAATCGGGCGAGACATGACAGTGAGTGTTAAATTAAGGATTTTAGCAATACTCAAAAATGTTACTAGTTTCTGAAAGTAAATTAAAAGAAGAATTCAAACCACAACAGCATCCCCAAGTATGTCTATTTTTATGCACCCAAGAACGATAACAGCAAGCGATCCTTTGAGGAATTAAGTTAGTTAGCTTTAACTGCTTTCAAAAGACAACGATACTGACCACACATAGGGTTTAAAAGTCACAGCCATTTAGAGTGCACTTCAAATTAATCTCTACACCCCCTATTCCCTACAAACAGCACAGTACACAATGCATTATGGGTATTTTGTACCTGTTTAGCTACATCATTTGGACCCTACTGGACCCTACTGGAAATAGGCTAAATTTTAAATAATGCACTATATAGTAGGGCTGGCCAACATGGCGATGATCTATTCTGGTAAATTATGTCACAAAACACTTTTTTGATATATGGAAGATATAGTGATATCTTTTTATAATGTTTAAGTTTTTATATTATTACAAAATAACTGGAAGCAGATGATCTGGTGTTGAAAATATAGAATCTAAAAAAACTATATACCGAAGTGTTGCAATTTTAACAGATTTTATATTTTTCCTCCTCAGTGGAGGAAATGTTTCTATTGAATGTCTGACATTAAAAAAAAGTATCTTTCAAACTCAACCTATATATTGTGATATATATTGTTTATTGTAGAAATGTCTTTTTTAGAAATTTGTCGTATGGCCCACCCCTACAGGGTGTCATTTTGGACATACAGTGAGTTTCACTTCTGACTGAACAGCGAGAGGTGTTGTAGGTGGCAGACATTTAAAAACACTGCAGTGTATGTAAGTATTTATAAGACAACACTGTTGTTCTAAATAAATGTCTAAAATATGTCTACACAACCCCCACTATAGACAGACAAACACGCTGTGGTTCATTTCAGAAATAATTCAAAGCTTGTTCGGTTTCTGTAACTACTGTTTAGCTATAAACATTAACTTTTGGAGTATTTTAAATGAATGACAGTTTGTTGAGAGGTCACTTAGTCATCACACACAGGAAGGTAAATGTTGTATTAACATTATTTTAATGTCAGGTGCAGGCCAATCTGAGCTCTGGTTTCTGTTAAACGCTGGGAAATGTCCTGTTCTCTTTCACTCTACAGATTTATTCTCTCCTCTTGAACTGCACTTACATATTTGTCATATCTCAAATAACAATCAGCACCTCTTCAAAGCATATCTTCGAGCCCAGAGCAGTAAAAGCCTAACACTGACAATCACATGCTCAAGATTTTAATATGAAGTATTTCACATATCATAGAACTGGAAACTGTGTAACTGGGTAACCTTGTGCTACCTAAGTCTAAAGTGATACTGACTCGATCCCTCACCTAACCCCTCACCTATCACATACTCTGCAAGCTGACAGAGTGATGGAAGAGCATTTACAATGGGTAAAAGGGTACTCAGGCAAGGAAAAGTGGACAAGAGTGCATTTAAACTGTTGCTTTTCAGATTTATTATGAGTTGTGACAAGGAGAAATTTATTGGTAGAACTTCTAAAATCTAACTAAATTAGACTCTAATGTAATTTCAATTAGGTAATCATTTAAATTATTATTCTAAATCTAATTTATATATGTACATATGTAATTTTATATATTTTATATCCATATATTTCTAATGATTTATAGGAATATTTAGATGAGTTAGAATGTTCACATTTTTAGGTATTAATTAAATAATTGACATATCACCTAGGAAATTC